TAAGACTTTGAGCACCATTTACATTACATCGGACGAAACTATATAGGGGTGCTATATCTAAATGTGATGCGATTTTCACGAAACTTAACACACATCGTTCCATACTTAATTGAGTACGCTATGACAAATTTGGTGCAAATCGAGAGTTTTATACGACTTTGGTGCACAATTTACATTAAATCGGACGAAACTATATATGGGAGCTACATCTAAATCTCATCCGATTTTCACGAAACTTAACACACATCGTTCTAGACTTAATTCAGTATGCTGTGGCAAATTTCAAATGACCAAATAAATGAGCTGTACCAAATTTCATTCAATTCGGATCATATATGCGAACTGTACTTATTTACAATTTAACATGGACAGACAGACGGACGGACATGCAAAAATCGACTCAGAAAGTGATTTTATACATATTCTCAAAAGGAACCATATGTCTATCTCGTTTCCTTTTGCCTGTTACAATCATATGCACAAAGACATAATACCCTGAAGGGTATAAAAACTTTGTTGTCAAAACCCTGGCATATGCGAGGAAAAAATGTGAATTTCCCAATACATGGGGATGTGTGAAATTATTTATCATTTGATACCCCCAGTGGTTCCAGCTGAAAATGTTGTTCAGTGTTATCTAACAAACTTAACAACATGGACTAACAATGGCTAAGCGTACCATCAGACACGTGGGCAAATGTTTTCCAGTAAAACGAACTCTAACTCGAAGGGGCAAATTGGAGTAAACACGCGCAGCAGATTATAAATTAATCAGTTGTATTTTCATTTGTATGAGTGGGAAGAATATGGCTTCTTAGCTTATTTGGATCAACAATGAGACCATAATAGCACTACTCTGATATTCAAATATTTTCTTCTGAATTGTTGATCAATAAACAGCGACCGTAAATATTCTTAAACAAAGGCAACAAACAAGCAATCATGGGTGGCTTTGCTATTCAAATCTGTCAAATGGTCTTCTTCATTCGAACGTTGATGAATAGCTATTGTGTTTCGACATATCCATTAATATCTTTTGAATTGGCGTAGATGTAAGTGTCTGCGGCATACGTATGTGTATGTGTGTGTGCGAACGTTTGCCAATTCGGAGCCACTCGCTGCGGTATTTCTAACTCTGATACAAATCTCTAATCACTTCCGACATAATTCAATGAAACGCTATTATCTACTTGGAGCACGTCAAAGGCTTAACTCGATTTTGATGGAATCCGACTAGAAGTTGAGACAAATGATCTTAACACCTATTATCGCTTAAAATGTAGATGCGCTGGCAGAGCAGCACGACGTGGGCTCGTCAAGTGTTTCTGATCGATACGATCTTTCCTAATCTGTCTACTAGATTTTTATTGTTTCTATTCCATGGATTTGAAGTAGACAGAGAATCGTTTCGCTCTCAGCTTTATCGCATCATTAAAGCTTTTCACAAACTGACATAATTCTTTTAATTTGGCCAAAGGAAAATTGTAAAGCGCTCTGGTTGCGACAAAATTTTGTTATTTAAAATTGAAAAGAATGTCGGAAAAAGTCAATAAGAGAAATATATACATATGTATATGTAAGGAGATTTTTTAAGAGCAAAAGAACAATTTTTATACCCTCCACCATACTATGGATAGTATATTAATTTTGCTTTTCCATTTGTAACTCATCGAAGTAATCATTTTTGGCTCTGTAAAGTATATATTCTCGATCAGCGTCTTCTGTCCCAAATTAGTAGGTCAAGTCCAAAGATGGGCTATATCGGTCCACGTTTAGGCAAAGCTCCCATGTAAGGGTACCGTAAATTTTCGGTATTTGGGGGTTCTTGAACGCGTTTTCAACTGAATTCGCTGAAATTTGGTACATTGGGTTCCAAATTTCCCCCCAATTTTTCTGGCAGCCATGTAACTGTCAATTTGTTTGTTTGTTTTTTTTTTAATATTTAGAGACCGCTCACGGTAGTTCCCACCATTCACAGTTACGTTACGATGTTCAGTATCTATGAAGAATTAGGGTCCAATGATGCCACACGTCTATAAATCGCGCCAAACTGTGAATTTTTATGGATGCTTTTGCAATACTTCTGGCTGATCCTCACTTGAAAATCGACAATTGTTAGCGATAAAAACAACATTTGTAACTTCAATTTACGATTAAAAAATATTAAACTCTAATAACCTTTAGAGAATCGGACCACATTTGCGATATTTCGAAAGATTTGAATTTCAAATTTGCGATAGCATCGATTAATTAACAGACTTTGTCGGTGTGATACAATAACGTCTAATCGTTAAAATTTTTCGTTTACTTTTAAGTGGTTATTTATACTCTTTCGAGTCGAGCTTGATGATCTAAGTTTTGCAATGAAAAGGAAAGCCAGGAGAAGAACCTACGTACCCACCATTATGCGACGCGTTTCGCCGTTGGTTAAGCGGCTCATCAGGCATATTGGGCTATGTGGCTTTACAAATGTCGTACGTTGATAACTTGTATTTATTCCGCCCTGATGCGAAACTTGCATATGCGAATTAAATTCAAATTTGTCAAAGTTCGACATTTGTCTTCATTCTAGGAACAGTCCTTTTCAAAGCAGATTTTTGTTGTAGAGATGGATAATTAATCCACACACCTACAATTGCTTCCTGGTCTACACATGTTTTTGCGCAACCGTTTTTGGAAGTGTTGATGGCTCAGAACGTTAAGCGGTCTTGGCAACATTAGTGTTGCTCAGAGGACCTAGGTTCGAGCCCTAGCCGTGCTCGGCTGAAATTAATTTTTGTTATTTGAATTTTGCCTTGTAAGGGCAGTGATCATTTGAAAGTAATTTTAAGTGGTTATTTATACTCTTTCGAGTCGAGCTTGATGATCTAAGTTTTGCAATGAAAAGGAAAGCCAGGAGACCGCTTAACGTTCTGAGCCATCAACACTTCCAAAAACGGTTGCGCAAAAACATGTGTAGACCAGGAAGCAATTGTAGATGTGTGGATTAATTATCCATCTCTACAACAAAAATCTGCTTTGAAAAGGACTGTTCCTAGAATGAAGACAAATGTCGAACTTTGACAAATTTGAATTTAATTCGCATATGCAAGTTTCGCATCAGGGCGGAATAAATACAAGTTATCAACGTACGACATTTGTAAAGCCACATAGCCCAATATGCCTGATGAGCCGCTTAACCAACGGCGAAACGCGTCGCATAATGGTGGGTACGTAGGTTCTTCTCCTGGCTTTCCTTTTCATTGCAAAACTTAGATCATAAAGCTCGACTCGAAAGAGTATAAATAACCACTTAAAATTACTTTCAAATGATCACTGCCCTTACAAGGCAAAATTCAAATAACACGACAAAAAATTTAACTGACATAATTTGCATATACAGTCGAGTACGAACTACTAGGGACCAAGCAAATTAGTCCGTTATAGAAGAACTTCGTTATATCCAATGTAAAGAAAAGCCTATGCTTTCTTCTGAATATATATTCACTTAGAAACTGGTAGGTTTTGTGTCCTTTTTGACTATTTTTAAGGTCCTTCTCTTCTTCTTTGATGAACCGGACATTACAGCTGATATTTTTGTATAGATTGTCAGAGTTAGAGAAAAACCAAGTTTTGTGACAATTGCCATCGGCAGTATTACGTATATGTGTATCAAGTTCCTTATAACCAAATTAAAATATTGAAAACTGAATGTTGGGACCGAATAAATAGTTCGTTATATCCGTTGTTCGTTATAAGTGTTAAGATTTGTATGAAAAATATGTCTCAAAACTTTGGGACCAGGGAAAGTGTTCGTTACAAATGAAGTCCGTTATAACCGTACTCGACTGTATATGTATTGTTATTTTGATACATAAATAATAAAGAACTGCGCATAAAGCAAACTTTTTTTATAACATTGCTGCAGCACCATTCTAGGCGCCTGTAATTTTACACAGTGTACTATGATGCGAGAACTTGAGCGTTTATTGGCAAATAATCAAGTTTCGACCGTATAAATCATCAAGTCAACAAGTCAATGAACTCGTTGTGATCACATCCAGACCAGCTGAATTCAAATTTCCATTTGGCTATTATTTGCCGATACCACCAGCAATGTATTGCTGTTTAATGTGTTTTTCGTCTTGTGGTTCTTCGTTTAGACACCATACCCACAAACGGCACAACATTACCCCCAAAGCCGTAATACATTGTTATGGCTTGTCCAAAACACTCTCGATCTTCGCATTGTTAATTACTGCGCCACCATCAACAAACAGTTCATCTTCCTTCCATTGGTCGAGATATTCACACTATCTGTCATAATCTTACGATAATGGGGCCTCAAAGAAAGATGTCGAATAGATTTCAGAATCAATACTTCATTTTTGAACCCGCATTGCTGCAGTTGCAACTTTCCATGTAGAATATGGGCAGATGGATGCAAGCTTAATCGGCCCAGGCTAATCTCACAGAAAATAGATCTGCAAATCTACATAAATACATATATGTATATGTATGTACAATGCTGTTGTGTTATTTCATCTTCATTTCATTAAATGATTTAATTCAACAACAACAAAAGCAATTTTGTATACAGAAACACAGCCAAGAAACAAAACGCCAACAAACAATAAAACAGTTTATTGACCCATTGATACCTGCAAAACAATAATTGATTGTTCGCTGGCTCGTTATTTTAATGCGTTCAACTATTACTTCCGACTTTGGCTTGGCGATGCCGAGGGTGCCAAACAACCGAACAGAATTCACGGAGATCATTTAGAAGATCAAAACTAGAAACATAATTATTTACGTCACAATTAGAACCACTGTCAGATTTGCTGTTCGAGTAGTGGAAGAATTTTTGTATAAATCTGCCAGATAGTGGATCGAATCATCAGACAGCCATTGGAGTTCTACCACGAATCACGAGTATTCAGATCACATACTATGGTAAGATGAACCACATTTGAGTTTTTTTTGTCCATTTCCAAATACGTGTTCTTGTCCCCCCACAGAAATTATTAGTGTTTGGATTTGCCATTGTGGCAGTAGCATGTGCCCAGTACGCACCCAGCTCGGAATACTTGCCTCCAGCTTTGCAGGAAGCTAGTCAATCAATTGAAGTTGCTGCACCTACCAATGAATACTTGGCTCCTGCAGCTGTTGCCGAAGAACAAACCGTTTTTGCCGATGATGGTTACCGTTACAAGACCGTTCGCCGTCTGCGTCACCGCCAAAGACGCGATGTTAGCGAATTGACTCAATATTTGCCCCCTACTCAGGAGGCTACCATTGAAGTTGCAGCTCCTTCGAATGAATATTTGGCTCCCGCTGTTGTTGCCGAAGAACAAACCGTTCTTGCCGATGATGGATACCGTTACAAGACTGTCCGCCGTCTGCGTCACCGCCAAAGACGCGATGTTAGCGAATTGACTCAATATTTGCCCCCTGCTCAGGAGGCTACCATTGAAGTTGCAGCTCCTTCGAATGAATATTTGGCTCCCGCTGTTGTTGCCGAACAACAAACCGTTCTCGCCGATGATGGATACCGCTACAAGACCGTCCGCCGTTTGCGTCACCGCCAAAGACGTGATGTTAGCGAATTGACTCAATATTTGCCCCCTGCTCAAGAAGCTACCATTGAGGTTGCTGCTCCCTCTAATGAATATTTGGCTCCCGCTGTTGTCGCCGAAGAACAAACCGTTCTCGCCGATGATGGATACCGCTACAAGACCGTCCGCCGTTTGCGCCACCGCCAAAGACGTGATGTTAGCGAATTGACTCAATATTTGCCCCCTGCTCAAGAAGCTACCATTGAGGTTGCTGCTCCCTCTAATGAATATTTGGCTCCCGCTGTTGTCGCCGAAGAACAAACCGTTCTCGCCGATGATGGTTACCGTTACAAGACCGTCCGTCGCCTACGTCACCGCCAAAGACGCGATGTTAGTGAATTGACTCAATATTTGCCTCCTGCACAAGAGGCTACATTTGAAGTTGCTGCTCCTTCGAATGAATATTTGGCTCCCGCCGTTGTTGCCGGACAACAAACTGTTCTCGCCGATGATGGTTACCGTTACAAGGCTGTTAAGAAATTTAAAACTCGTCGTCATTAAGTATATTGTTGGAATCGTTCACATTTTGTTATTACCGCTCTTAACTCACGACTGATTCTCTCTAATAAATAAATGTTTAAAAATATGATATATAGCTCATTTTGAATTCAGTTTTTTTTATAAACTAGCTGACGCGGCAAATGTTGTCGTGCCTTTTGTACATTTTTTGATGTACAATATTTGGTATACTGGTACACTTTTACATACTGGTACACTTTTAAGGGTGGCACCCATACTTTTAAGGATACCCCAATATTCCGTGTTTTAATTTTTTTTTTTTTAATTTTTTAAGAAAATTGTTTCTAACTTAATACTTATTGGACTATACTACATCGAATCAATTCTTAGCTATAACCTCCCATATTTTAAAAAATGGGGTGGGATATTTATATAGGCGGTATTAAACATAATCTATGATCACAATATGTTCCAATGATATCATGGAAACAACTGAAGACCAGAAATACGAAATTGCAGCCAGTTTTGCTAACAATGAATTATAATATATGGAGAATGCCAAAAATTGAACCTATACAGACGATTTTTTAAACAAATTTTGTGAACTACAAAGTACGCGGAGAAGAAATTTCAGTCTCTCTTAATAGGGATTTTTTCTAAGATCTCATAACCCACGAACCTAGACCGATATTGATAACGCATGATAGGCTGGAACATATGTCTAAAATCGTGCAAATTTGAGAGGAAAGTTATATGAGGATATACATAAAATCTGGTCATGATCGGTGCAGTAGTACTTGAGATACGGTGTAAAAAGATAAAAAAGCTAAATATTGCGCCATTGCGTTTTTGAGTTTAGCATACAAGCAGAACTGATTGTTTTCTTGTTCAAAATTAACTAGGATTTGTGTAAAGTTTCAGTGTGCTATGTGAAGTCTATCTGTGTAGTGTTGTTTTAAATGATTATTTAAATGTTATTTTCCGCAGTTGGGTTGTATTCCTATTGACTTAAATTCGATCCTGTTTCCAAACTTGACCAATTTAAGAGTGGGCAAGCATAAATACAAATCAAATAGAAGATATATTATTTCGGTTCACTCCGGGTACATTTATAATAAATATCATGCGAACGGTTTTTACCAAACCTATTACATGTTTGAAGGGGACGTTGCTAACCCAAGCGGAACTTTGCTACTAACAAAGGGTTCACTCCTGCTGGTACTGTCCTCAGAAATATCAGGATAAATCTGTACTAAATATGTCATAGAATGAGGCCAATACCGGCTGACACTTTCTAATCGCTTATTTAGTCTGCTGTTATCCAACACTAAGGGCTTTCCAATGTCGGTAGTACAAATGACAATGGTATTGTTTAGGTACCCATTTTGGTATATGGTTTGCCTTACAACCACCACCTGTGTGAGGAGCATCTTTCTCTATATTTAATTACCAGATACGAACAGCGGTTGTGAAGTACGCAATAGTGAACAAAGTAGTAGTACTAAAACTATACTAAGTAAAAAATCGACAATATGTGTTGGTCATCGATATATACTTTCAGGTTTAATCTAAGTTTGGTAAATATTATTATATGTTGACACTTTGTGGGTAGGTACCAAAAGATGTAGATCGGACTTGATCTAGGTATGGAAAACATATTTCTTTTCAGAGGACGTAGTGGACCGATATATTCAAACATTATAAGCGCATGGTTTAAATATGCATTATATCATCAAATTATCCATATTACCCATCTAGATTAAATCGGTTACTCCCTTCGAGAGTTATCGTCTGGCTGGTGAGCATGATGACACTCGAAGGACAGACGGACAGAGATTTGAAAATCCAATCCAAATTGTCAGAAATGGATTTGACACAAAGAACATGGGGCCTAAATCCAATATTCGATGGGGCACATTTTTAACGTAGACATAAGGATGAGGTTTATTTATTTATAATATTTTTTTTATTAAAATTTAACATTAAGTACATCAAATATTTTTAATTATATCACAAATACAGTCAACTGGCATAAGATCAGCCATTTGATCGTTTCCTTATTTTTGTTACAAGTTAAGCCGATCGCACAATTCACTTAGCGGGTTTGTTGTTGTTCTTATTTTGAACCCATTCTGAGTTCAAGTGTTTGTGTTTCAATTGGTATGGCAGAAATCCATTTCCATTCGCAGCCAATAACCACTTCAATAAAAACAACGTTATCTTCTGAAGATGATGTTCAATCAAACCGATCGAAACAAAGAGCCAAGTAGAATAGAATATCATTAGAATATGCTTAGAATGATGAGGCGATGTATAGCAGCATCGATGGATCGCTCGCATTGTTTGGAAATGTTAATGCGTAGTGCCATTATTGTTAGCGCAATTTACTGGGTTGGAATTTTTGTTTTTGCTTTTATGATTGGTTTGAAATGCTATTCGGAAAGAGAGAGCGGATGGTATATTTCTATATAAAGATCTTACCAAACAACATCGGTCATCAATCGTCTTTCAGCACTGGGAGTTGGAGTATCTTTCAGAACCGCAATGGTAGTTACAAACAGAAATATTTTGCTACTCCGGGATTATAATTTTTTTTTTTTTTTTTGGCATTTTCAGAAGCTGACTTTCGTTTTTGTGGCAGTTATTTTTGGTACAGCTTGTGCCGCTTTGGTGCCAATCAATGAGTACTTGCCTCCTCTAGAGGATGCCTCACCCACAAGCAATGTTGATTTGCAATCAATAAGCGAATCGAGCCCATTGACAGATGATGGATATCGCTACAAGATCGTGAAACGTCTACGCTTGCGTCAAAGACGTGATGTCAACGAATTGCCCTCCAACGAATATTTGCCACCAGCACAGGAAACCCAAGTCGTTGAAGAAGTAACTGCCCCAGTTGAAGAATCCGCCGTATTAGCCGATGATGGCTACCGTTACAAGACTGTAAAACGCATCCGCTATCGTCACCGTCGTGATGTTAGCGAATTGCCCTCCAACGAATATTTGCCACCAGCACAGGAAACCCAAGTCGTTGAAGAAGTAGCTGCCCCAGTTGAAGAATCTGCCGTATTAGTCGATGATGGCTACCGTTACAAGACAGTAAAGCGCATTCGTTATCGTCACCGTCGTGATATCAACGAATTGCCCTCCAACGAATATTTACCGCCAGCACAGGAATCCCAAGTCGTTGAAGAAGTAGCTGCCCCAGTTGAAGAATCTGCGGTATTAGCCGATGATGGCTACCGTTACAAGACTGTTAAACGTATCCGTTATCGTCACCGTCGTGATGTCAACGAATTGCCCTCCAACGAATATCTACCCCCACAGCCTGCCCCATTTGTTGCCGATATTCCAATTGTGACATCCGCTGATGTTGAGACTGAGAATTCACAAGACTCCGCCGTCTTAGCTGATGATGGTTACCGGTACAAAGCCGTAAAACGCATTCGCTATCGCCAACGTCGCGATGTCAACGAATTACCCTCTAACGAATACTTGCCCCCCGTTCAAGAAACTCAAGCCATTGAGGAAGTCGTTTCTCCTGTAGAAAATTCCGCCGTTTTAGCCAGCGATGGCTACCGTTATAAGACTGCAAAACGCGTCGTTTATAAACGTCGCGTTTAAAACATAAACTGCCTATAGAATGTAGCATTAAGAAGACAACCATTAGCCAAACAATTCGCATAATAAATAAAACATAATCGAATAATAAGCATTGATGGTTCTATCTATAGAATAGAAAGGTACACAATTTTCAGAACACGGTTACTGTTTTTACACCATATTGGAACCGAAAATGTTTTTACAATATTCAAGTTTGTAGGATAGACGATTACCAAAAATTTGCCTCGACTGAACTGAACGTCTTTTCTGCTTGTTTTGGGAATAAAGGGTGACTTTTTAGCTAGTTCAAGTAGTTAAAAAATCTTAAGATTGATCTATGATTTAAGCATGAATCGTCTTACGAACGAACAACGCCATTCTTAATAATACCCATCACTTATTGATTCGTCGCCGTGCGCAGCAAGTGGGTCTCTGTTACTCTACAGTGTGGACATTTTTGCGAAAGGATTTAGGTAAAAAGCCTCCCAAAAAACATTTGGTGCAAGCCTTGAAGCCGAACGACCTAGCGCAACGCAGAATTCTTGGTGAATAAACTCTTAGAAAGTTGGTGGATTCACTTCATGAAAGTATGAAAACATTGGACAGACGGTCCAACGGAATGCCCGATTTTGGCCAAATATGCACGGTTTTGTTGTATTATTTGTTTGCATTTCTCCATCATTTTTCCGATTTTATCGAAATTTTCGACGACCGGCCTACACTTCCATTTTTAACACCCTGTAACTCACAACTGAATGCACCAAACAAAAAACAGCAAAATAATTTTTTATTACTGCGAAATGTCACCCTTCCATCGATCATAAATCTGAAATTGTTTGATCGATACTACGAGAAATCTATCAGTACAGCCATCTGCCGAAAAAATAATGGATTTATTTTTCTCCAGCCTAATATTGTATTCAATTCAATTTACTCAATCTGCCTGCTAGAGGTCGAGAAAGCACAACATTCTTCATAGAATGAATAATTCGCAATTTCCAGAATTTTCATATGTAAGCGGCAATGGAAGGAATAACAATTAAATATGTATATTTTTATTCATTTTTATTTTGCGGATTCCAAAATATTTCGTTTTTACAATGAATATTTTTTATAATTTGAATGTTTTGTTTAAATGTTTTGATTAAATGACGTTGACACTACTATTACTACAGCAACAAATTTCCATGTGGTTGTTGTATCGTTTCTTTGTACAAGAACACTTGCTGTAACCAGATGTTTTTATTTTGATACATCACCCTACTATTGCATCGAGACAATAATCATTTTCTGTTGTTGTGTATGTGGTTTATAGCAGCGACATCTTGTGTATAGTAGGTATAAATTAGATAATATTGCAAATTCATGACAACCAGTAACTACTAGATGTAGTCACTGTTGCCAACACAGGGTGGCTATGCAACGAACAGGACAACACGATGTTCTCTGATAGTTACCGGAAAATCTATGTCAGTAGTCACACGAGCAAAGCACATTGCAAAGTAAATTGAGTTTATGGGCCAAGGAGTCGAGAGAAATAATGGACATTTACTTGAGCTTAGCAAATCTATTTTATTTCACCTTTCTCTGTAGAGAGCGTTAAGTTGTCTTTATTAATTATATTTTATTTTCTCTGTCGACGAATAAAAAATATGGTCCATTGAATAATGATATTTTGTGAGGTCAAAGAAATTGATCAAAAAAAAAATATCTTTAAAAGTAAGTAGAAAACATATATACATATATGATTTTGTTCTCTCTTTTAAAGCGATTTTTAATTTTCCAGTACAAATTTCACGAGTGACAAAGACATAAAAGTATAAAGATAGGACTAATGAATTTCCAAAGTGGCTGTTAGCATGGTATAATTATTACAAGGTAGGGCACAGCTACCAACTGATTACAATTTGTTCTCAAGGTGGCTTGTTCCATCAAATCAAAATACATATTTTGTGTATGTGTGTGTATTGTTTTGAAAACAATGTCAAATAAATTGAAAAATATTCAAGTTTAATTGAAATGAAAATAAAGTTTTTAACACGTTCGTCTGGAAGTAATTACTTTGTTATGGATGAAACAAACATTTTATGGTATTCCCTACTGGATTTTGGGAAGAAATTATAACCTTTCATTAATTTTTCGCGTTTTTAGTTTTGTGTTGAAAAAATGTGAAATAAACTCAAACACTTGTTGCGTACATATTTTTATTTTATTTTTGGCAGAAGAGGCCACACGTGCATAGTTGCTTTTTTGTTATTCACCTCAAGCTGTCCTACCTTGTATTATTGTACCATGGCTGTTAGATGGCTTTTCCTCTGTTGTTACGATATCTTAACAACATTTTCTGTTAATTACAAATTTTTTACTCTCTAAAAGGCAATGGAATAATGACAAAAAACCTTGAGAGTTTAAAGCAATTTATATGACTGGCAACATTCTGGAAATTTATACAATGAGCAAGCCGAATTTTTGTCGCTGCTATATAAATGTATTAAATATGCAATACGAAGAGAGTATGTACATATCATAAATAATTATTATTATATATAACCAAAAATAACATAGTATTTTAGGTTTTTAGTAATTTAAAGACCGATTATTGTAAACCCCCGATGCAATGAAAACACGATGTACATGGTGAAAGACCGCGAAAAGCATTTCAATTTGTAAGCGTAAGAAGGAAATATATATTCACTACTTATTTGAATGAACTCAATAAAAATCTGGATACTATGAAGAGACCTTGGAAGAATTCGTGCACTATATAAACACGAGTATATATATATATGTTGTAATACACATGTTCTGGCGAGCATTTGTACAACGTTGTTCGCTCTGTCATTTCCTACATGAATTAACCCTCTCATACACTAACTTTATTAATTATAGTTTAGAAAAATTTTTTTTTCATAATTTATACTAAAATTTAAACTTAATCGCGTGCATCGTATATTGATATAAATAAAAAATAATTATCTTCCTCCTGAACTTAGTAAAAACCCTTAGTTAATCAATTTTCATTTTTCTAAAAATTTTGATGTTTTCAATACTTTTTTATATTTTCTCAATAAAAATGTCACATCCCAGCAAACATTTTTTATTATAAATATAACCAATAAAACTCTTATATGCGATCTCTCATTTTTATCAAATGAGTCATACTGTTCGGAAAGGAATGAACTACACACTCGTTACTTCTTAAAACTATATTCTTCGTTTTAATCAAATCGCGCAGTCGTTCCACATATATACAGTGGTGGCCACGTAATAAAAACATTTACTATGGCAAACATTTTTTGATCAGTCCTCGATTCGTTTGAAGTATTTTTAACATTTTTTTTAATTCAGAACACTTAGATAAACTGCAGTTAAAAGTGTGAAAAAGAAAATTATAGCATGCAATTTTTCCATAAATAACGGGTTTTATGACAAAACATCGTCTTTGAAGTGGCCACATAATTAAAACATTGTGTGATTTTTTACGTTACTGCGGTTTTTTTTTTTTTTTTTGAAAAACCGTTATTTATGGAAAAATTGCATACTATATTTTTTTCTCTTTTCACACTAAATCTGTTAAGTACAGTATATCTAAGTGTACTGAATTAAAAAAGTTTTTAAATTCTTCAAACGAATAGAATTTGGTAATCATAGTTTTCAAAATAATTAACATTGCTGTGAAGTTTTTTTTTTTTTTTTTTTTTTTGTGAGAGAACTTCAAAGTGAAATTTGCATTAAGATGTGTAGCCCTCTATAGCACAAATTTGACACTAATATTGGAAAATGCGTCTTGTCAAATCCATGGCACAATGAATAGGTAGTCCATTCAGAACAGCTGATGTCATGATTAACAGTCAAAGTGCGTAATTTCTACTTGAATTCAATGTGCAATGCTGCCAACTTTGTGAAATATTATAAGGAAAAATTTGACAGATGGTCAAGACAAAAACAAATGTTTTTGTTTTTATACATCACCTTATTTAGTTTGACAGTTCAACAGTAACAAACTTACTGGAGTTTACTGAAAGAATTTTATGCAGTAAGATTTTGCAAACTCAGCAATTTTTTGATCAGCTGTTTTATGACCAAACACAAAAAGTTTTCAAAAGATTTTTTTAATTTGCAAAGTTTAATTTGATATTAAGTTGTATAAAAATTACAGAAAATGGAAGAAAATGCATAAGTAATGCAAAGTTTAATTAAATTAGAAACTAATTCTTTATATTTTTAGGCAAGTTCAAGAAAGAGGACAATATATTGATGCAGGAAGATTAAATGTTCCCGGGGAACCATGGTATAATAATAGAAGGTAACAGCAAGTGTTGTTGTACAACAAACGATACAACAACCACATGGAAATTTGTTGTTGTAAGTTATACTAGTGTCAACGTCATTTGACAGAAAAATGTAAACAAACAAACAAATTATCAACAAATTATATTTATTTTGAAAATGAAATATTTGCGAATCCTCAAAATAAAATTGAAAAACATGAATGAAAATCTATAAAATGTATATTTCTATCGCTTGCACATCTTTCCTATAATTGAGCCATTGCCACTTATATGTGTAACACATATGAAAATGCGGGGAATTGCGAATTATTCCATGAAGAAAGATTTGCTTCCTCAAACATTCCCAACAGGCAGATGGAGTAAATTGAATATTGAATACGGTAGCACATTTAATAAGGAACAACTTCAAATTGTATGCGTTCCCAATTTTCCTGTTGGGCGATTTTTAAAAACATAATTTGTCAAATTCATATTGACACTAATATTACGTTGGAATCAAATCAGCTGGGATTCGCCGTTACCTTTTATAATTGTACCATGCCGGGGAACATACCAAATCAAACGTCAACAGCTAAATATCGACTTGTAGAGCCCTATTGCAAAGAGAGGAAGAACTTCTTCGTTGCTGCGCTGCTTCTGGGCTTTTAGATATGTTGTTGTTGCTGCATACAGAAAATAAAGAAATGAAAGAACTTTTCGCCACATCTTGTGTTTGTCAATTGAGAGGCG